TCTTTATTAAACTTGGTTTTTGGTGCCTAGGAATGTTACCTTAAATTATAAAATTAATTTCACTATCCTAGCTACAATAGAAATATCCAAAGGCAAACATATATCAGTTATACCAATATATTGGATATAATTGCAGATTTTGTCTGTTATAATTGCCCTGCAACTATATGTGGCGTATATACAGTAATAACAATTTAAAAAAATTTAAAATTAGAACATATTTAGATAATTAAACCTTAATTACTATTATTATATTATATATAAAAAATGAATATAATATTACATATATAATAAATTTTGTATTTTATACCAAAGCCTTACTTATGACTATTAATAGCTAATTAGTATTATTATAAATAGTATTAATTATCCATTGGATGTGATGCGAGACCCGAACACCCGTTATGATTGCTCTTTCATCAAACGCCAGACAAGAATCGCCAGGAAATACCGATATCGTCGCAACGATCCCTATAACCACTGCCACTCCGTTTGCATACTGTACTATTGGTCCACCCGAATCACCCTGGGCAACAAATAATTTGATTATACAATAAATTTAAAAGTATAAATATAAATGATTAGTATATAGTTGCCCTTGCTTCTTTATAATAACCATAAGGAGTAAACGATTACCTTTTTGGAAGGGGAATGATAGGCTTGCCAACTTTATTTAGCAAATTTCTTAAAAATGTCAAAAAATTAAAAATTTGCCTTGACATCTCCTTAACATCTGCTAAATTTATGAAAATTCTATTGATAATAGTGATTATGTATGGGTCAGGGCAGCTGTAGGGGAGCGTTTCTATGCAAGTTTACATTAAGTCATGTGTTTTTTGTCCATTCATAATAGTGATCGTATGGGACTAATGCATGTTAACTCTATAGAATTAGTGTTAAGTTTATTGTATTCATATTAAAGCTATGAAAAATGTTAATCTATCTCAAAACTTTATATTATTTGTACACACTAAAAATTTATTGTATAAAATAACATTATTTTACTAATAATATAAGGAATCTACTAATCTGCCCTTGTTTTTCTGCCCGGCACTTTTTATGCAGTATTTGCATTTTTTGCGGTGTTTGATGGGCCCAAATGCCGGCAAAGCAAATGCCGGGCAGAGCCACGGGTTATATTTTCCGTCAATTTTGACATTTTCACAGAAAAAAATTAATTTTTATTTTTCAAAAATATGCTAATTACAACAAAATTTAATAAATTTTGTGTAGTTTTAAATTAAAAATATAATTTTTAAAAAATATTTTATTTTAAAAAATTTTCCGTGAAAATGTCAAAATTGACAGAAAATATAACCCATGGCTCTGCCCGGCATTTGCTTTGCCGGCATTTGGGCCCATCAAACACCGCATAAAATGCAAATACTGCATAAAAAAGTACCGGACAAAAAAACAAGGGCAGATTAGTAGATTCCATAATATAGTACTAATATTAAGTTAAAAAACATAATTTATTGTAGTTTTATTTAGTGTTATTTAGTGTATTCTTCATATAGAAAAATCATACTTTAACTTGATGTAACATAACGGGGTCGCAATAAAAAAATCAAGTAAATTGTATTTTAAATAACTTTTGAACTACCACACTAATTTTGTCAAAATCTTTATCACATAAACTTAATTATATATGAAATGAGATACAAATATTAAATCATAGTCTTGAATAGTTATGGGCCAGATATTTGCGGTTGTTTGCGGACACTCGCGGCCGTATTGTTTACAACATTATTATGAAGTTTAATGTTTACAATTAAAATTATAAAACCCAAAATTTTTTATAATAAATCGTCATCATTGTTTACAGTATATATTAGGGTGTATTTTGATACAAAAATCACTTAAATCATTTGAGTAATAGTGGAGTTATACTATAAAAACCTCAGGCAGTTCTTACATAGAGTTACATTGTTTTGCAAAAAGTCAGTGAAAAGCAGTGTTTCACGCATTGAACCCCATGTTAATGTTGTTAACAGTACGGCCGCTAGTGTCCGCAAACGACCGCATATAACTGGCCCAATACTATCCACGACATTGATTTGACATTTGTAAATCATTTCATACATAATTAAGTTTATGTTGCAAGAATTTTGATAATATTAATGTAATTGTTCAAAAGTTATTTGAAAAACAATTTACTTGATTTTTTTATTGCGACCGTGTTAGTATGTAACACACTTTCAGATTAGAAGTAAATAGACCAAGTTCAATTTTAATGCATAAATTGCCAAAAATTGTAAATTAAAAATTAAAAAAAATTTTAAATTTGTAAAAATGATTATCGTTTCAATTACATTTAATTTGCATATAAGTGAGCTAAAACAAAAACGTTTATAGCGATAAATAACGTAGAAAATTGTTTGCAAATTTCTTAATTTTGTTATAACTTTTGTATATTAAGTCGGATCTGGGAAATCCTTTCGGAATATTATTCCACTCATCGATACCTTTTCATTGATATATAATATGATACATTTAGTCATAAAATACAAGATTTTATATTCAAATTTTTCCCGATAACAGTGGTCACTGCGACCAAACCCGAGGTTGTCTGGCCAAATTAAATATACCACCGTACTTCTTAAAGGGCATACTTTCCATTTATAACAATAATTCCCGGGTGCTCTTATGGCCAAATTTGAACATTAACCTTTATATTATTTACACAAAATTGTAGTTTTATTACGTCAATGACTTACAGTACAAAGACCCGAACCCGACGGGAACAGTACGCGTCGAGCGAAAAGGGCATAATTTCGATCGCCAGAGTTGTCCGCATAGGCTTTCGTGATTTTAGCGAATCCTATTCGCTGTATTCCCCAACCCGTTCCGCTATTGTTCTCGACCCCGAACCCAACCAATTGGACGTATTCTTCCCTCTCATTGACGGCCATCTTTTCGGGCAAACAAATCGAGTTAATACCCGACGAACCGGTCGTTCCGTCCAATGGTATAGCAGTGTTGAGTCGAATTAACCCCAAGTCATAGGCGGGCCCGAGTTTAAGCTCATGTTCGGGAGTTACGAAATACTGACCGCCCGTATAGAAGGGATGGTTTGTATAGCTTTGGTTCGTTAGCCCCGGATATACACGAATGTCAGTCACCGCACAGTTTGCTCCACAACTTAAATATTAAAAAATACATAAAAGTTTTATAATTAAACGTTACAAACATTTTATAAGTTAGAAATTATAACACATATTGTAATGTGATTCATACGATATACAGTGAGCACACGTTAGGATCCATCGCTCGTTTAGTATTACACCACTAAATGTTACAGTACTGAGTGTGTGTGTGTGTGTGTGAGAGAGAGAGAGAGAGAGAGAGAGAGAGAGAGAGATTATGAAAAATATATTAAACATGATTTATTAAATTGCTTACATTCCATTTCTAACATTTGTGATAAACACAGTCCACGGCTGCTCTCCCTTCTGTACTACCCGTCCGTTTTGAATACCGGCAAACATTATATCACTCGATGTGTGATAAGTGAAGCACTTGTTGTCCATAAGACTCGCTTTCCTCCCGACTCCACACCCGATAGCAGTTATATTCTTGTAGTTCTGAATTTTCGCATGACTTCCATTACAGTTAACGATACATATACTTAACGCTGGAATTGATATTTATTATGAATTTTATTATTATAATATTTATACAATAATCTAATCATTAAAATCATTTTTAACCACAATTCATATATAAAGAATTGCCCCCCCTCCCCCGGCCCCCCCCGCTCTATGGGATTTAACATGGAATTACAGCTTAA